TTGCAAAACCTGGAGTTAAGTATGGTTGGCTGATGACGGCTAACAGCTTGAGCCCCAGGCCACAACAGGACAAGCTTGTCCTGCAACGCGATCGATGAGTGCTAATCTATTACTGTTAACATGCCCAAGAAGACGAGTCTCTGACTCTACGGTTAGACCTTTGGACTTCTAATGCACAAGTCGCGGGTTCGAGCTTCAGGGGTTGCAACACCTAGGATTGGGTGTGGCTGGCCGAGGAGGACGGCTTATAAGCTATAAATTGCCATTCCAGCCTCTTTGTCATTGTTGGAGACGTTATTTTGTCTCTAGTACTGGCCGCTAGTTTGAACGCCAAGGCACAGAAGGACGAGTTTGTCCTTTAACGTGAGTAGAGAGAGCTCGTCTACCAGGTAGGCGTCAGTTGTGGCGAAAACGGACAACTTCCGACGATCAGAAAAACTCGAACACACGAAGTTATCGGAAAAAGTCCGCAAGGTGCACAGCAGAAAAGCAGTGTCTGCGAGTGAGCGTCTACCTTTGCACATATCTGTCTATCTGCGAAGTTAGACAATCTTTTACGGAGACCGATAGCAATAAAATGCATACAAACGAGTGTACACAAAAATTGCACGAGATGTCAGCACTCGTAATCGTCAAGCCAGTTCAACTAAAGAGCGGTCTTGAAGACTCTAGCTTTAGTGAAAAACTTGCATGTTGTTAGTTTCAAAAGTATTAGGACATAAAAGGAAACGGACAAGCTCTTCTTGCAAAAATGGTTTAATAGAACATCGAGTAGCAAAGACAAAAGACAACTGCCCCGAAACTACTAAATGTGTCAGCGTTTCTCTTCGTCGGCAGTGAGAATGTGACGCAATGAAAATGTTATGTTATGTTCATTTTGAACTGGACTTTACCATCGACCAGTAGGATGACCACAGCTAGGCGAGGAAAATTCACTAATCGATCTGTTTCCAAAATCAAAAAACTTCGGTGAATCTTTGGCTTTTAAGATGGCCTGAAGGAGGCCGACTGACGGATTTACAGCGAGACAATATTTTGGCGTCGCGAACAATGGACTTCAATAGCACGGAGATCAGACAAGGTCTGAGGAGATAGAATTCCACATTATAGCTTGCAAAGGGTACTGTGAGGAGAAACGAGGAGGTAGAAAAAGGGAACTACAGACCCCACCAGACGGAAAGACAGGTGCTACGCGAGGTTTCTTTGAAAAGCAATAGCGTACGCGGCATGAAGTGAGCTTTGGCGCTGCAGTTTTCAAACTGCAGCTGACAGGATTATAAAGCGTCCGGCTGCATATGGTTAT